GATCCCAACACATAATGTCTTATTTTGAGACACACACCCTTTTGTTACCATTACAATAGTTTTGTGTGTTTTAATATTGTGAGCTGTCTTGGATCCCTCCACAGGGAGAAAGGAAGCCTAAAATGATGAAATAAAATAATACATAGAAGCCTCTGCCCCACTCACTAACATTAAAAGTTCACTTTTACAACCACTGTGACAGGCACGTATTCACATCCTCAAGTACAACACCAATGCATTTAAGATGGCAAAGAGAAGGTAGAGATTATGGAAGATGGTATAGGTCGAAACAGAGTGGTGCACAGAGGGGAGAGTGGAAAAAATTATGGAGGACAGAAGAATGTAGAAGTCACAGGGAACAGGAGAGAAAAGTGAAGATTGGAGAAGTTGGAGATGAGAGATGAGAATGGAGATTTGAGAAAAATTATTTGTTGATTTTAAGGAACTTTTCGCCCCCAGAACCAAAACTCATTTTCTGACAGAATCAGTTAGAGCAGGTTTCTTTGATCCATCAGTGAGAACTATCACCATATATCTAGCTGCATCAAAGAGAGATACTGCCCTCCCTATGGTCATGACTAGGATCAATTGGTGCCTGTCTCTTTGAAATGTCCTTTGTGTAACTTCAATACATAATTGTTTATACATGAATTTGTTTATTGTTCCTTTCTATGTCTTCATACTTACAATCAACTATAGCACAAACCATTCTATCCTGACTTATACAGCAGCAATGAAAATCCTATTGCTTAGTGTAGTAAACAAACAACACAGGGAGCTCCCCCAGATCTCTTTACACCTAAACCAGTGGAAGTTCTCCCCTTAATGGAGCTTCCAATGGGAAATAAATTAGTTTTGGCCCATACCCCATTCCCCACTGCTGATTTATTTGATTGGAAACAAGATCTTCCACCATATCGAGAGGCCCTTCAGAAGTACCTGGACTTGATCCAAGGGATCATTACTACTCACCACTCTTCTGAGCAGCCTCCTAAGCGAAGATGAGAAATGCCAGGCTCTTGCTAAGACTGACACCTTGTATACTACTCATAGGGTTCAACAAATAGCCGATGGTAATGGAACAGTTGATTGGCCTGAAGCAGCAGACCTCATAACCCGAGATATTGATCCCAATCCTAATAAGCTTGCTGGGGCCCGCCTGCTGAAAGCAGCAAGAAATGCTGTAATTCATGGTCTCAAACTAGGAGTGCCAAAGGCTGTGAAACCTTCACAGACTATATGAGATTGTTAAAAAAACACACCACGGAATCCCCAAATGAATTCCTGACGAGGCTCAAGGATGGTTTTCACCGGTACACTCACCTTGATCCAGATTTGGAATCAACAGCCAGCTGTGCTACAGGTGCAGCTCCAAAAGCACCCAGCCATGTGTGACAGCAACCACTGAACTGCCCGAGTCCTGCAGCTGGTCTGGTCAGACAGCTATGCATCAGCTGAAGCACAGCTACACAAAGGCACTTTGTACATGTCTCTCTGCTGTCTGTCTACTCATTGTCTAAGATACAAGGGTGCTTCTGAGGAGAGATATCTGCCCAATAAAATGCTATGTACAACAACTCTGAGTCAAGTTTCTTTATTAGACAAGGTAGCTCCGAGCCATGCTCCTAGGGAAGGATATTGCAGGAAAAAGGGAGGGACACAAACCCTATTTTCAATGATAATGATGGGAAGGGTGGGAAGGAAAGTATAGTTTGCCAATCATGAGCTGTGTGAATGGGATGACTCATGAGGATGAGGGGGCTGGGAAGACAGTGGTAATGTATAGTTTGCCAATCATGAGCTGTGTGAATGGGATGACTCATGAGGATGAGGGGGCTGGCAAGACAGTGCCATGGATACAGGCTGGTGCCTTAATCATCAGTCAGGAGGTACGGGGGGGGCAAGATATCACTGGGATGGATACAAACTGGCCCAACAAATCATGAGCCAAGAGGCCAGGGTGGGAAGGATTCAAATTGCCCCCCCATCATGAACCAGGAGGTAAGGGGCAGGTGGACCGACAGTCGTAGGGATTCAAACTGGCCCTCCAATCATAAGCCACAAATTTAGAATTGTAGAAGGGACTCAAGCTGTCCAGTCATGAGTAAACAGGAGAGAGAGTCCAAGTGCAAACTCAATGTTACCCAACCAGGAAGGAGAGAAAGAAGATGGACAGTGAAAGGTCCAGGCCTTGAACTGTGTAGAGTTGTGTAGAACTGTGTAGAGTTGTGTCCGCTGGACAACAGACTATAGGATCCCTGGAAAGCACAGCCTAAGAATTCTTGCCTGAAGTATAACTTTACACAACTCTAGTCACTAACCTTGCCATTAATCATGTGCTAGGGCAGGGGGAAGAGGGGGTAATGTGAGGCCATCCTATAGATCAGTAAACAGAAGTTATCTTTGGCTGCCTCCTGTGGTTCTCTCAGACAGTGGGTGGGTGGATGAGAGAAAGGCAGATGTCATGGGGGCACTCTGACTGCACCAGATGCACTAGGAGGGGCTTAGCCTTCTACGGCACAAACTGGTGTTGCAATGGGTTTCATGGCAGCTGCAGAAAGGACTTGCATTTGGGGGAAACAGCACACTGTACCTTTAACAGGAATCTCCCTCTTAATTGTGAGAGTCTGGTTCAGTCAGCCTAAGGCCAGCCTGGCTAGTTAGGAGTGTGCCCTAAGTCAGGACGAGAGAAAGAAAGATTTATTTTAGTGCTAACATTTTCTGAATTTGGACCAGGGTTCTGTGACATAAATAGTGCTTTGAATGGCAATTAGTTTTCCAACATCTTCTAATATTCCATTCTTGACCTAAAAAGGAGTAGGTAAATAGCTTCACGTCATTAACTAAGATAGTTAATGGATGCTCATTTGGAGATACTACTTATAATTTATGAGTTCATAAGAAAAACAAAAACAAAATAGCCCGGCAGTAGCCCATGCAGTATTTATGATCCACAGGACAAGAATTTATTTCACTCTTGCAAGCAGCCTGGTTGGGCTTAAGAGTGTGAGAGACATTTAAATAACTATTGACATACTGCTGAGGACATAATGAGAGGTGTCACATGACCTCTGAGGTCACATGATTGCTAGAGCAACAGTGCTCTAAGTTCTGGACAGGTGATCTTTGCCCACTTGCTGCTTTCCTGCCTCAACAGCCATTGGGAGCAGAGTGAGTTAGAGAGACCTTGACTTTTCAAAATTACTTACATTTACCTTGCATCCAGGCTTAACCGTGGACTTTCTCAGCCATTCAGGTTCATAGTTTGTAGAGATGTACTCTTTATCAACGGACACGATTGCTTCCTGTTTTGTCTATAGCTCTGGAAACTACATTAAGGAGTTACCTGGGTAGTGTAGGTTTAAGATGGTGAGGTCCGGCAGGGCAGTTTACGTGGTACTTTTGAGAGGTTGCTGTTGTTTTTAAATGGAGATAAATGGGTTTGTTAGGGGGCAGCCAGATGTAAGCTGGATTTCAATAACAGACTTCCCACACAGATCAGAAAGAGCAGCATTTGTGGGGATCCTTTCCTGGATGCCCCCTTTCTGACAGAGGCGTAAGTGTAGTTGTTGGAAATGAAACAGAAATGTTTCATTTCTGAAACATTTGCCCACTCTGCATGATTGGCCTGTGTATTTCATCCCTAACATTCATTAAGTCGAGGCACCACTGTAGCGTGGTTGCTGACTCTGAGCCAGATATCCTGGAGAGTGAAGTCAAGTGGGCCTTAGAAAGCATGGCTAACAACAAGGCCAGTGGAGGTGATGGCATTCCAGTGGAACTATTTAAAATCTTAAAAGATGACCCTGTTAAGGTGCTACACTCAATATGCCAGCAAGTTTGGAAAACTCAGCAGTGGCCAGAGGTTTGGAAAAGATCAGTCTACATCCCAATCCCAAAGAAGGGCAGTGCCAAAGAATGCTCCAACTACCGTACAATTGCATTCATGTCACACGCTAGCAAGGTTATGCTCAAAATCCTCCAAAGTAGGCTTCAGCAGTATAAGGACTGAGAACTCCTAGAAGTACAAGCTGAATTTCGAAGGGGCAGAGGAACTAGAGACCAAATTGCTAACATATGCTGGATTATGGAGCAAGCCAGAGAGTTCCAGAAAAACATCTACTTCTGGACAGGTGGGCAGCGAGAGGGCTCACCTTCTGGATGCGTGGGCACTTTAGGGGGCAGGCAGGACCCAGCCCCTACAAGGTGGGGAGGAAGCCCCACGTTCGTCAAGTAGGTGCCGCCGCCGCCCCACGTTCGCCAAGTAGGTGCTGCCGCCGCCGCTCCCACTCCAGGTGGGGCTGAAATTAGAAGCCAAGCAGATTTTGAGTGGGTGGGCGTGTCATGTTTGCAGGTGGCCATGTTGCGCTTGTGTGCATGCACACAAGCACGACATGCCCCTCCGCAAGCACGACACACGATTCCTGTGCATGCGGGGGGGGCAGAGATCCATGTCCACGACTCAGTTAAAGGAAGCCCACGGACCGGCGCCGGGCTGTGGACCGGGGGTTGACGACTCCTGTAGTAAATCATATTCAAGTGCGCCTACTGAATCAGCAGACACTGGGTGAGTCAACCCCTACGTAAGTTCCATTGATTTAAATGGGCCTAATCTCATTGCAATTTACTATGCTAAGCAACAGAATTTCAGCCAGGGTATTTTAGCCCTGTAGGAACAGATGCACACAGGAGTTCACTAGCGAAATCCCTACTGATTTAAATAGGTCTACTCTAGTACAACTTACTATGCTAAGCACAGAATTTCAGCCAGCATGCTTTATCCATGTAAGAACATATCTATTTTAATTCAACTGGCTTATCAAAATGCACATTCATTTTCAAATAGTAACATGCTCTGGTCATGAAGAGTCGAACACAACTTAATGACTAAACGACAATGAAAATGGATTATTCTATTAAAACCCTAAATGTGACATGTTTGCTCCTTGACACAATTAATTTACATCCAACTTTTTAGCTGTCTAATAAAACATGCACTGGAGATGAAAAAGGTGCCATTTTATTATTCTGAAACTATCATTAGGGAAACCCACACAAGATACATATGTTTCATAGAAACCATATTTACATAGACCTATAAACTTTCTAATACTTTACAATTCTGTTTTATTTCATTTGTTTATTCAGAATTCAAGTCAAGGAATCTTCCATCCAGCCTTTGCCCAAAGTAATAAATGTCACATTTTCTGTTGGAAAACCAAGGCAGTGACATTGCTTCCAGTTTTTCCTCCAAAACAGAATGTGGGGGTTGGCAGCTCCTCCAGAAGAAGAAATCCTGTCAGATACAATATATTTTTATTAAAAAGTAATAAAGTTATATTCCTATTGAATAACTTTTCAATTCTGATATTAATTGAAATACAAGCACACGCAAACCAGCAAGCTATGTATGTTTTTATATGACTGCTAATTTAATATATAGTCTAGAAGCAGATAACAGGACACTGTCATGCCAGGAATTCTGATTTCAGGTAGTGACTATCCCTAATCACTACATTTGGAGACAGAAGCTGAAATGTCTGGCATCAAATTTTTGTCCCCCCTTAGGCAACGAAAGGGAAGAAAACAAATCATACAAGCTGAAAACTGTAGGATTAGTGTCAGGAGGGGGCAAAGATAACCGAATTGTGTGGCAACAGTAAATAGTTACTTTGTTCATCAGGAAGACTAACTAAAGCACATTTGACTTCCAAATACTGAAGCAGGATCCTCAACTAATATGGATTGCTGGGAGTAAGAGGCAGCAATGGCAATCAGAAATGTGTTCTTAAAAAAAAAACACAAGACAGCTCTTCACCAAATCTCTTTGCTAGAAATCCTTACTCTCCATAGCAAAGTTAGGATTGCCCATGGAAGGCTTACTGCTTTTGAGGTCCAAACTTACATACAGTGGACCCTTGACTTACAGACGGCTTGACTTACAGACTTTTTGAGTTATAGACTTCTCTGGCCGCAAAATGTAGGTTTGACTTGCAGCCTGAGCTTTGACTTACAGACCAGAAAAAACCAAAATGGAACAAAAACGGCCTGTTACAAGATTAATCGGTTTTCAATACACTGTAGGTCAATGGAGACTTGACCTACAGACTTTTTGACTTGAGACCCGCCTTCCAATACGGATTAAGTTCTCAAGTCAAGACCCCACTGTATCATGTTAGAATTCAGACATGATGTTTTGATACGACAGAAAACTGCATGTGTAAACCAATTCGCTGTAAATCACCAGCATTTCCAAAGCCAGAGAAATAAGATGCAGATCAGTTTTTAAAAAGCAGCTTGCCTCTCTAGTAGCATGGAAAAAAACTGCACTGAAAACAGGGAGCAAAGAGCTCCAGTTTGTTTATGTCCCTTCTGTGAATTACAGAATTATAATGTTAAAGACATGAATAGGTAAAGGTAAAGGTTCCCCTTGGCATTTAGTCCAGTCGTTTCTGACTGTAGGGGGCAGTGTTCATCCCCATTTCCATGCCGTAGAGCCAGTGTTTGTCCGAAGACAGTTTCCATGGTCATGTGGCCAGCATGACTAGACATGGAACGCTGTTACCTTCCCACCGTGGTGGTACCTATTTATCTACTTGCATTTTTACATGCTTTCAAACTGCTAGGTTGGCAGGAGCTGGGACAAGCGATGGGATTCGATCTTATGACTACTGGTCTTCTGACTTTCCAGCACAGAGGCTTCTGCGGTTTAACCCGTAGCATCACCACATCACTCCAAATACATGAATAGCAGTTACCATATAATAACTCAGAAGACAGAAGCACCATGCACATGGGAATTCAGAAATGCCACTGGATTTCAACTGTAATGTGCTTTATCTTTCAAAAGCCTGTGAGCCTGGCCCTCAAACTCCGTAAAGCTGCCAAAATAATTTTGGATGGTTATGAAAATTAGAAGTCAACTAAAGTTACATATTTCACTGAATTTTAGATCTTCAGTGTACCTTTTCAGAAATGGAGCTTTATTAACATGCCACAGAAGCATATTATGCATTACTACCAGAGAAAAAAGTGAAATTGTGTTGCTTGCTATGCTGTTCGATCTTCATCTCATGGGGAGTGCAGGTCCACGTGATTTAAGCCAAAATCCCATTATTTCTCGGTTGCATCTTTGCAGCTCTACCTCAGAAACATGGCTCAAACACAAGCAAGCACTTTTACTGTGGCAATCAAAAACACCTATGCCATGTGGAAGCCAGAAAAAAGCAAGGCCATATTTTCAAACAGATATATACAGTTGTAAGGCAAGCCATCTACCTTCTTCGAACTCTTTGCTCAGCTCCTCTCTGGTCCAATTACAAGATGTTATGAGGAAATAGCCTCCAGGTCTCAACACCTTGTGCAAAGATTTCACATACTGCTTCCTCTTCTCTGATGCATTGTCCGGATTCAGACTGATGGCATCAAAAGTCCCTTTATCGATGCAAATCTGAAAACCTGATAATTCATCTGAGGGACTTAAAATGTCTTCTACCTGTACAAGGTAGTTACAGCTGTTAATTTTACCACACATTACTTAAAAAAAAAATCTAGACTCACTATACCTAATTATCACTAAGATCATCTTGAAAATGAAAAAAATTGGCACATTTAGACAGGAATACAGATACAGTGGCGCCTCGCTTAGCAATCGCTCCGTTAAGCAATGAAATAGCTTAGTGATGGGGTTTTGGCCATCGGCAGAGTGATCACTTAGCGATGGCCCCTATGGGGAAAAACGCTTTGCAATGACCGTGGGGAAGCGATCATGGCAAAGCGACCCTTTTTGCACAGCTAATCGGCAGTTCCAAAATGGCCGCTGGAAAAACAAAATGGCCACCCGCTGTTTTGCCTTGCTTTAGAGGCACCGAAAATGGCCGCCTCTATGGAGGATCTTTGCATAAGCTCAGTTTTTAAGCCCATAGGAACGCATTAAACATGTTTTAATGCGTTTCTATGGGCTTTTAAAAAGCGCTTAGCAATTAAATCGCTTAGCAACGTTTTTCCTGGAACGGATTGATGTCGCTAAGCGAGGCACCACTGTATTTTAATTGAAAGCTGTGTGAGCATTTTATTATGTATTTTTATATATTTTATCAGTATGGTTGTGTCTAAGATTAAAACTGCAACCAGTTGTTCTATGAATTGATTAGGACTCCTTTAAATCAGCTTTATAGTTCATATTATTATTTTCATCAGTATGAAACTGCAGCTTGCTTATGTATACCTCAGTGGATGACATAAATAGCACACCAGGATCCAGTGCAGATTTACACTGTTTCCTCATCTTGTGCATAAGCATGAAACAAAAAATCATATTCTGCTTATATGCCAAGCTCCATTACTGAAATATTGCAATGAATATATTGATGCAAGTTTCTCATGGAGAAAGTCAGCAATAATGAGGTAACACCCTGCAATCAGACTTCTGCAGGTTTGTTTTAAGTGTGCAAATTGAAATTGGGAGAGAAAGAGCAACAGAAGAAACTAAAATAAAGACTTGTGAATCATATTTAATTCGTCATTCGGCTTTTATGATTTGTAGTCTAACACTCCCCTTCACAGATTGCTGCCTTGTCGTGGCAAAGGGGCTTGAGTAATTCAGAGAAACTATGGGCTATGCCATGCAGGGACACCCAAGACAGACAGGTCATAGTGGAGAGTTCTGACTAAATGTGATCTATCTGGAGCAGAACCTGGAAAGCCACTCCAGTATCTTTGCCAAGAAAACTCCATGGACAGAAACAAAAGGCTAAAAGATATGACGCTGGAAGATGAGCCCCTCAGGTCAGAAGGCATCCAACATGCAACTGAGGAAGAGCGGAGGACAAGGACAAGTAGCTCCAGAGCTAATGAAGTGGTTGGACCAAAGATGAAAGGACGTTCAGCTGCAGATGCACCTGGAAGTGAAAGGAAAGTCTGATGCTGCAAAGAAAAATACTGCATAGGGACCTGGAAGGTAAGATCTATGAACCTTGGGAAGCTGGATGTGGTCAAAAAGGAGATGGCAAGAATAAACATTGACATCTGGGGCATCAGTGAACTAAAATGGATGTGAATGGGCGAATTCAATTCAGACGATTATCATATCTACTATTGTGAGCAGGAGACTGAAATTGAACAATTCTATGAAGATTTACAACACTTTCTAGAACTGACACCAAAGAAAGATGTTCTTCTCATTCTAGGGGACTGGAATGCTAAAGTAGGGAGCCAAGAGATAAAAGGAACAACAGGGAAGTTTGGCCTTGGAGTTCAGAACGAAGCACGGCAAAGGCTAATAGAGTTTTGTCAAGAGAAGAAGCTGGTCATGACAAACACTCTTTTCCAACAACACAAGAGGCGACTCTACACATGGACATCACCAGATAGGCAATACCGAAATCAGATTGATTATCTTCTCTGCAGCCAAAGGTGGAGAAGCTCTGTACAGTCAGCAAAAACAAGACCTGGAGCTGATTGTGGCTCTTATCATCAGCTTCTCATAGAAAAACCTCAAGCTTAAACTGAAGAGAGTAGGTAAAACTACTGGGCTAGTCAGGTATCATCTAAACCAAATTCCTTACGAATACACAGTGGAAGCAAAGAACAAATTTAAGGAAATAGATTGGTAAAAAGAGTGCCTGAAAAACTATGGATGGACACTCGTAACATTATACAGAAGGCAGCAACAAAAACCATCCCAAAGAAATGCAAGAAAGCAAAGTGGCTGTCCAACAAGGCCTTACAAATAGCAGAGAAGAGAAGGAAAACAAAATGCAAGGGAGATAGGGAAAGTTACAGAAAATTGAACACAGACTTCCAAAGAATAGCAAGGAGAGGCAAGAGGGCCTTCTTAAATGAACAGTGCAAAGAAAGAGAGGAAAATAATAGAAAGGAAAAAAACAGAGCTGTTAAAAAAAATATTAATATCTGCTTCATTGACTACACAAGAGCCTTTGACTGTGTGGACCACAACAAACTATGGCAAGTTCTTAAAGAAATGGATGTGCCTGACCTTATCTGCCTCCTGAGAAATCTATACGTGGGATAGGAAGCAACAGTTAGAACTGGATATGGAACAACTGAAGAAATATCAACAACCTCAGATATGCAGTTCATACTACTTTGATGGCAGAAAGTGAGGAGGAATTAAAGAACCTCTTAATGAGGGTGGAAGAGGAGAGTGCAAAAAATGTCTAAGTTCAACATCAAAAAAACTAAGATCATGGCCACTGGTCCTATCACCTCCTGGCAAATAGAAGGAGAAGATATGGAAGCAGTGACAGATTTGACTTTCTTGGGGTCCATGATCACTGCAGATGGTGACAGCAGCCATGAAATTAAAAGATGTCTGCTTCTTGGGAGGAAAGGAATGACAAACCTAGACAGCACCTTAAAAAGCAGAGACATCACCTTGCCAACAAAGGTGTGCATAGTCCAAGCTATGGTTTTTCCAGTAGCGATGCATGGAAGTGGGAGCTAAAGAAGGCTGACCACCGAAGAATTTATGCTTTGGTATTGTGGTGTTGGAGGAGACTCTTGAGAGTCCCCTGGACTGCAAGGAGAACAAACATATCCATTCTGAAGGAAATCAACCCTGAATGCTCACTCGAAGGACAAATTCTGAAGCTGAGGCTCCAATACCTTGGCCATCTCACGAGAAGAGAAGACTCCCTGGAAAAGACTCTGATGTTGGGAAAGCATGAAGGCAAGATGAGGAGGGAACAACAGAGGACAAGATGGTTGGACAGTGTCATCAAAGCTACCAACATGACTTTGACCAAACTCCAGGAGGCAGTGTAAGACAGGAGGGCCTGGTGTGCTTTGGTCCATGGGGTCACAAAGACTCGGACACGACTTAACGACTAATCAACAACAACAGCAAGTCCAGCACTGCCACTACACCATAATGGGTACCCATTCATAGGATCTACTGAAATCAATTGGATTTGCATTATAAATGATTAACCAAAGTATCATTGATTCAATTTGTCTACTCCAATTACACTTAAGAACAGTTGTTTTGGTTACCATTATGCACCATCCTTCCTCAAAGATCTCAGGGTGGTGTACAACGTTTTCACCCCCTTTATTCTCACAACAGCTGTGTGACAGTGATAAGGCTGAAACACAGGCTGGGTCAGTATTGCTCTCCACAGTGATTGCTGGAGAGTTCAGTATCACTCTCCACAGAATTCTCATAGGTAAATCCCACTGAGTTCTATGCAGTTTACTGCCAGGTACACATGTACAGTCTCAGTAAATTTCAAAGCTGAGAGATTATCAAGGAGAAGCCTCCTAGATCAGAACAAAAGTTAGTCTAGTTTCACATGCTGCTTCCAATAGTGGTCAGGTTGGTATTTAAGGGGATATTACAAACAACACATAAAGGCCTCTCTTGAAATATGACCAACTTCGACAACTAGCATTGATCTCAAATGACATCTCTGATCCTGGAGGTTTCCTGGAACTAGTATGTAGCTAACTCATGGAATCCTAACTTTGGAGGATTATGAGAATTACAGCCACCATTAAAAAAAGCAACACAGACACACAGACACAGACACACACACAGAGAGAGAGAGAGAGAGAGAGAGAGAGAGAGATTCCTCAGCTCTATAGATACATCTAGTAACATTTCAAAACCATCTAAGGTTGTCATCATCCTCAAATTTCATAAACTAGTTCCCACTTGTATGAAAAAAATGCCAAGAACCCAGTGAAATCAATATGAGTTAACCTGAGTCATTACTGTCTTGACCCATTGTCTCAATGGGTACAACAAATTTAGTCTAACTCCAGCCCAATGAATACCATGAACCAACCATAAATTGGTTTCACTGGTTTTAGCTCTGTGAGAAAGACATGCTTTTCTATGCTATTCTGCCTTTACCAAATATGTTTCCATCATGCCGGTGTCCACTATTTTTTTTTAGCTTAGTGGTTCCCAACCTTGGGTAACCCAGTTGTTCTTGGACTGCAACTCCCAGAAATCCTGAGCAGCACAGCTGGTGCTGTAGGCTTTTGGGAACTGCAGTCTAAGAACACCTGGGTTACCCAAGATTGAGAACCACTGATTCAGCTCCTAAATTTCACCACCCTATATGTTTTAACTTTCTCCATGTATGAGAATGTTCAAATCTAATCAATCATTTTGCCAGATTCTACACCTCCACAAAACCCTCACCTCATGAGGCATACCTGCAACTTAACATGTGGTAGTCCTTCCTGTTCCATTAGGTTTTTTGAAAGTTCCACTGCAGAAAGAGAATAGTCAACTCCTGTCAATTTGGTAAAACCTGATTTGGCCTAAACAGAGGAAAGGGAAAAAGATTGATCAAGTCCTTAACGCCTTTCCTTGGATGTTGGCATTTGTGGCATTTACTATAAAGCAAACCTACACAAAATTGAAACATAAGAATTGCAACAAATTAAATCAAGTTATGCTGTAGAAATAAAGCAGAGCAGGAAACACTGGCTAGATTCCTGTTGCTTAACGCTAAAGTAAGCTGCAGCTAATGTAGGCCCACTTCAGTCAATAGAACATATGGAGGAGTTGACTCAGTTGCAACAATTATTTTGTTATCTAGAACAGTGGTCCCCAACCTTGGGCCTCCAGATGTTCTTGGACTTCAACTGCCAGAAATCCTGGCCACCAGAGGTGGTGGTGAAAGCTTCTGGGAGTTGTAGTTCAAGAAAATCTGGAGGCCCAAGGTTGGGGAACACTGATCTAGAACACTTGTCAAAGTGCAGATTTCCTACTAGATGGACAGTCTCCTTACTGCTGTTTCAGGGCATGATTTCAGGCAACGAATTCATTCATTTCAGAAATGAGGGTAGTTTCAGAGTCCTTTGATACAATACAATGGTTGCATAAATATGAATCAATTTTTCATATTTATAATATTCTATGTTTTTCATTTTGGATTACTTTTCTAGTACAGCAGTGCATGAATACTAATCAAAGGGACAAATCACACATCAAACCGGGGTGGAACATGTAAAAGTCCCCTCTTCATACCTCAGAGTACAATTTAAAGCATTGCTTAAGTGTACGTAAAACATAAGGCCATCCTCAGCTATTCTCATGGGAAAAGTAAAATATGCTCTCACTTTGATTCATTTTTACTGCATATGAAATTTTAATGATCATAAAGGGTACTCTCTCAGGGTTTTCTAGATACAAGGTATTCAGAATTAATCTAACCATCCCCTCTTTTGGTAACACTCTTTTGAAAGCTTGAGAAACTCTGCTTTTGTACTTATAAGTCAGAAAGATCCAGCAGATGCTATCTGGAGAGTCAGTTTTTGAAACTCTTTTAACTACATAGAATTTGGATACCCAAATCACTTCCTTTTGACTTTAGCAAACATTCAAGTCAGGATTTTATAACAAATTATGAAATGTAGGTATGACAAAACACATTTGCACTTACAATGGAGACTCAACATGAATTTAAATAATACAGTATGGAAATGAAACAGTGTAAGAAGTTGTTCTGCATCACAATTGATGCCTCTACTAATGCTCAGCTCTTGCTTTCTCTGTTCATAATTTCAGATTTTGCATGACAAAGTGTTGTATTTCCAAATACCAACCAATTCAACCAGCAAAACACCGTTTCCTGTTCCAATGTCAAGCACAGGGCTGTCCCGGAGTATCTCTTTTTTTTCTATCCATCTAATTAAACGAGTCATGCTCTCTTCACCAAACCTAATCAGAAACAAAGGTTCAGATAACCCATTCCATTTGTCTATGCACAAGACAGGTAAACAAGCTTTGTCAGTCTCATACAATACAGCCACATCATGTCAACATCAAGGCATCAATCTCCACAGATCACATTGCACTTTTGTTTAGTTTAATTCTGCAAGTGAATATGTGGCTCTGAAACCTGCTAGGCTGATATAATACAAGAGAGATTGTTGGTGTGTTTTTTACAAAAAAAAATCTGCAGAAACATGAGGCAGCAGTGCATTTTTGCTTGCATCTTTTACTTAAATCTTTACAAATGTTGGGGATAGAAATACTTGGCTTCTACGATGCAGATTGTAGCCAGCAATTCATTTCCCCATAAAAAAACAGATGTCAGCTGACAATTAGGTATTTTAATTTGCAACAGGTTTAGCCTAGACAAGAACTGGCATTTTTCATGCAAACCTCTGTATCACATTTCCAGTAATCTAAGCAAAAGAGCAGATGTACAATTTTATTTTATTACATGCACTTTCAGACAGAAAACAAGGTACAGACATTTACTGAACTATGTTACAATTTTTGATACTTGCCAGATCTCACCAACATCACCATTTTCTTTAAAATTTTGCAGTTCTCGTTCATATACTGCATCCCAACTACGGAAGAAAAGAACAGAGACATTAACAGAGCAACGGCTTGCATCTCTTAATTACTGAATTCCACAGGGATTCATTCTTGGCCTATTATCAATCCTAAACTGGATCTTGTCTAACATGCCTGCATACCATGCATGTTGACCTAGGAGTAAGCACCACAAGACATCATTTAAGAGGAGAAATTCTAGGATTACACTGCATGTTTATTTATTTTTGAATGTTAACACATCTTAGAAATTAATGTTTTTAAGGAGATTTTGCAGAAACTCAAAAAACCCCAACAATCTACAAAATTTTTCAGTGCAAGCCATGAGGATACTATTTAAAAAGAAAAACAAAACAAAACAATGTAGAAGAGCAGCATTGATCCAATTGATTATAAAAGATGTAGTGAATAGTCTGCCACCTGCAAGTTAACATCCTGGATGCCAGGCAAACAATTCTGGTCTAACTCATTCACAGCTAAGGTGCTACCATGGAAAAACCCTTTCTCCACCTGCAACATTGCAGGATCTTCTAGGACAGAAACACTCAGAGAAGGGTGTCTGATGATGATCCTAATAAACCCTCAGGTTTGGGACTGGGACAGACTGGTGGTCCTTTAGAAACAGTCACATAAGGTACAGAATTTTCACGAACAGAAAAGATAATAAATGAGCAAAACAAACAGCGTTGCCATTTCAGAGGCACTCCTCAAGTTGGTGACTCCTTTCAGACCTGTTCTCAAAGCACCTCTCCCTTCCTGAAGACCTTTGTAGGACAGATGGAGAGTCCTGGTGAACGGAACGTCCCTATGTTAAACATGTTAAACCAACACTTTCAGCGGGGTCCAGAAGCAAGCAAGAAGCTAGGAAAGCTGTTTTTTAATAGTTGAGACGTATTTCAGTGTAAATCTACTTTTGAATGTTATTTAGTTGGCATGATTGCAAGGATGCCAACTATCTAAAGAGACAATTAGAAAAAGGGGACTTAAAATATACGTATATGCAAAATTTATCTACTCCTCTTTAAGAGCAAATTATACCTCAAGGACAAGCTGAAACAAATGCAACATAGTCTACTAAAGGTAAAGGTAAAGGTTCCCCTTGACAATTTTTATCCAGTCGTGTCCGACTCTAGGGGGCGGTGCTCATCCCCGTTTCCAAGCCATAGAGCCAGCGTTTTGTCTGAAGACAATCTTGCGTGGCCACATGGCCAGTGCGACTTAGACACGGAACGCTGTTACCTTCCCACCGAGGTGGTCCCTATTAATCTACTCGCATTTGCATGCTTTCGAACCGCTAGGTTGGCGGGAGCTGGGACAAGCGTCGGGGGCTCACTCCGTCGCGTGGATTCGATCTTCCGACTGACTGCTGGTCTTCTGACCCTGCAGCATAGGCTTCTGCGGTTTAGCCCACAGCACCACCACACAATTATTTTCAGTGTGAGGTGGTGATGACTCATCCCAAATGCAGCTTGATCGACAGTGGTACCATATACAAGACTCCAAGAATTCAGTGAGGTCTTATAGGCTACTATTCCAATATCTTGCTTGATTTAAGTATTCAAAGTTTGAAAATCCAAAAGATGGCTGTCCAGCCTTCCCTTTGTAAATAAGTAAGAAGAGACTACAAGCCCCTATGCAATTGCTTATATTGTTGAATTGTTCCTACCCCAAACAATGTTCTAAATGTTCAGTCAAGCTTGACTCCCCCTTTTACATCAACCAACTAGATCAAATCCAACCCTCTGGAGTAGCAAAGAATTCATTTTTGCCCAATTATTTGTGAGAAACCTTCAGATATTTGAACAGAACTACCATGTTCCAGCCTCATCTTTCACAGGCACAATGGACCAGGTTGCTTCAGCTTTTCCTTATACAGGTAGTTGTTTTCCATGTCCCTGACCAGCTTGGCTTTTTGCCTCAGAAATTACTCCAGTTTATCTATATTCTTCTTTTTGTGACTTTAAACTGGGCACAATTCTTCCGGCTGAAGTCTGACCAGCCTACTCAGAAGAAAGCTCCACTGACTTCAGTAAGATTTGCTCCCAGGTAAGTACATACAGGATACAACAAAAGTGATATGGTGGGGTGTAGAAAGGAGCCTAGAAAAATACATTGCCGAAGAAAAGCAGAATTCTTTACTAGACAGATTTCTTCAGCAAATTACAAATCTCAAGAGTCTTTCATGACATTGAAGTGATAACAGACTGATACAATTATATAGTGGATATTCTCTTAGGACTCAAGAACTGGTGTAAGAGCTTTATGGGAATGGCTCCTATACTATAAATTATCAAAATTATCGATAATTGGTGGCATAAAAGGGGTAGCTTTTAAAAGATTAGGTTCCAAGCACAACCAGTGAGAGACAGATGTTTGTCACCTTGACCTTGTAATGCAACTTGACTTCAAAGCATTTTAACCACCTCCCAATTTCTATTTTTTCTCTGTCTTAAGCTCTAAACAATTTTTGATTTGTAGATATTTTTAGACACAAAGTCTCAAGCCTGCCTGGAAATAATACTATTTTATCTGGAAGTTTCCCAGATGTACAACTTTTTTATTCATTATTCTTAACTGAAGGAAAGGAACTCTTCCCATGCCCTTATGTATTCTCATTACTGTATTTTACACACTGCAGAAAAAAATGCAGGATCCCATAGGGCTATACATGTACACTGGCTTAATAAACAAATGGGTTTGATTTTAAAAGTTACATTGCTATCCAGACAGTTACAAAAACCAGTGATTCCTCCCATTTAGTACTATATTTAGTTTAGTTTCCATTCCAAAATCAGTGAAAAAGATAAAATAAAAAAATGAGAGAATAAGCTTTGCATATACATTGTTCTTACCACCTTAGAAAACACTTTAAAAGATGCTAACAAGATGTTTAACTCAAATTAAACATGACCTGGCTTTAGTATCAGGCAGAGTGACCAGTCACCTCAGGAGAAATTTCAGTTGTTGTGAAAAGGCAACACATTGTCAATAACTTCGGGTATTTGCTATTGTACTATTTTTACAGCTGGATATGAGAAGAGGTGCTGGAGGGATGCGCCAAACACCCTGGCTTTGGGTAAGAAGCACATTGACTTAGATAAGTTGGGCGGTGCCATTTGTTGCCCCTCCCCCACAGCAAAATATCTTGGACAAGTCCTGATTCAATCACATAACAAAAACAATGAGTTAATTCTATGATAAAAGGGAAAACTGGTCATTTTTTAGTTTTTCTCCAGCCAGTTTTATGAAACCTCAAAACCTCTTTTGTCCAAAATGTGAAGAAATTTGCACTGGCCAAATTCAATAGGTGCAGCTTTTCCCAACATGGAGAACGTTTTGCACCTGACTATCATACAGGTTTTAAAGATGGATGGGGGGGAGGCAGAAGAGAGATAGTAATTGATTATGTTCAACACAAAGGTGATTGAAAATTCAACAGTTCAATTTGAGACTTAAAGATTTAGTACAAAAAATCTTTGGTCTGATGGCTGAATCCATCAGTGGCAATTTCTTCTGAACTTTAGTTCATTTCTTTAAATGATTCCATTCTAAACATGAAAAACATTATGAACTTCAGTAAATCCTAAAATCCAAAAAACAAGTTCTACCACATCCCAAAACACAGTAATCAGTATAAAGTCCAGCTCAGAGCTTGCTTCTTCCCAATCCGATTTTAGTTTTGCACATTTTGGTTGCCTCTAACAAATTGAAATGAGATTGCCTCCTGTCTCAAGACACAGTCATCAAATGATCACAGCCCACCTTAGATCCTCATTAAGCACGCGTATAATTACGAGAATTTACATTCCTAATTTTGAAGAAGGGATCAATCCAACTTTAGCCCTACCGAGATCACTGAAACGGGAAGGACTCCACGGGCAGAACGAAGTCCATTGATTTCGGCGGGTCAATTCTCGGTAGGGCTAACCCTGGATTTCTCCCTATGGTATAGGGCCACGAATATAAGATGCTCCCGCTGGAGGCGCCTGCCCGTCCCACTCACTGCTCTTTAGTCCCCAACGCCGAAGGTTCGAATCCTTCCTCCTCCTTGCCGCCCATCGCTTTACCGGTGACAGACAACCAGGCAGTGGGGGCAGGCCAGAGCGTCTCCTCGAGAAGAAGCTCCTGCTCCCCCATAATGTTTTTTTTCTTTGCCTCTCTAGGCCTCTGGAGGACTTCACTGCTCCTTTGACCTCATCCTTTAGGTTAATTGTGGATTGAGAACTAGCAGTTACTGTAGTTCCATAGGATACAGTTGCAATACGAAAGAAAGGAGGAGAACAGGAGAAAATTCCCGCATACATACATACAACAGGCCAATTCTTCTCTATGGGTTCTAGACAAAGAAACTTAAACATATTTACATATCATTACAGCCATTAGGTGGATATGCCATATACACCTCGCCTCAGGTTATAAGAAATAAAAGGAGTCCAAGCTGCAACTCTCCAAATATTTTGTGAAAGTAATTAGGAATATGAGGTTTCAGGCGGGTAGCTCAATCCCACTGAGGAATTTTGGCTGCGAACTACGATTCCCAGGAAGCCGCGCGGCGCGGCCGGAAAGCGGGGCGTGAGGCGGGCCGGGGAGGGGCAGGCGCGGTGCCTGGTGGGATCGTCGTCGGAGGTGGTGGTGGGGCTCCATCATGGCGGCTTCCATTTCAGGCTACACGTTCAGTTCTGTCTGTTATTACAGCGCTAATAGCAGCGCCGACCACGTAAGTACTGGTGCCCGCCGGCCGTCTCTTCCTCGGAGGGTGGCGAGGCCAACGTTTTGCCCCCTCTTTGGCCCGGAGAGGAAGGGGAAAGGAAGGCAGCAACAGGGAAGAGGAAATGGGTGTGAGGAAAGGAGGGGAAGGCAGCGACAGGAGGAGGAATGGGCGAAGGCGGCGGGTTCCAAGCGTCGTGAGAAGGAGGGGAAAGTGTTTAGAGGAGAAGCGAGGCAGGGCAGTCATTGGAAGCGGGGCGGGGAGCAGCATATGTGGAGAATACGGAACAGCTATATTGATAATGGAGGCTTTCGGGGACGCAGTAGTACAGGGTGCCTGGGTGTGCTGATTAGGGGCACGATGATGTAGGAGGGGCTATTTTGATACGGACCGCCAGCTACAAAATTAGGGTGCAGAGCCTAGCTGACGAAATAATTTTCTTTCTGTTATGGTAGATGGTGATGGCATTTTTGCTTGACAAAGTAGTCCATTGTCCCCAAGGAGTTAAAAATATCTCATTAACACTTCTGCCTGTACTACTAAATGTTTGAAAAAGAGGTCTTCAAATGCTTAGAGGTAGCTGTAATGGCGTGTCTTAAAGCTTCATTTTTGAGCACACATGAACTGTGATATTGCTGGGTATGTGGGATCTAACAGAAGCTCGCGGAGTATCCTCTAGCAAGAGTACTCCTATATAGATTTTTGTCAGTCTGCCATACCATTTCTAAGCTACTACAAGCTACAGTGACTTGAAGGAGAAAATTTTCTTCTGCCTTCCCCTGTTTTTCTTTCCAGTTGACACTAAATATTCTGTGAATATTCAGTTCTCATTGGTGGTTGGTTGTGTGAGTGAGTGTGTGTGAGAAAAGGTAATTAGGTTGTTTTAAAAGGTCCTTTGCATTTTTGCAAACCTCAACAATCTCTGAAACATGCTGATAATTCTTTGTTGTTCTTCAGTAGCCCTCTTTCTATCATTACTTACTACCTAAGTTTTCTTTTAGAGGGAGTGATGGTAGTGTATATAGCACAAATCTGTAAACATATTTATTTATTTATTTGATTTATATCTCGCCCATCTGGTATATTTATACCACTCTGAGCGGCTTAGTGGGTTAGTAGGTTATATATTTAGTAGGTTAAACCCACAACAACCATCAGGTTATATATTCATTGTCATCTAGTGTTAATATGCATACATATGTAAGATTACACCTCCCGAGGCTAGTCTTGTATTAAAACTTTATACAGATGTTCCATTTCCTCTTGTGCTGCATTTTTGAGATTTACTCAGGGGAACAAGAAGAAGATTGAGACTGCTGTTTTTGCTATTGCCATTTCTTTAAGATGTAGCAAAATGGCTGCCATGTAACTTTCAGGGTAATTTTCAAATGGGCAGAGTCCTCTTGGTATTTGTGTAAGTTCTGCATAATTTTAGTCATAGCTTTTTGCCATGGCTATTTGTTGAGGTGGCAGCATGCATCTCAGTGGTCTGCCTCGTCGCCATCATACTTCAGAACCAAGAAGTGCCCATTCACTCCTTCTGTTAGTCACAATTAGCCTCAGCAAGTTATGCAAACCTTACATATACTGTATACCAATGGGATACTGTACTAGCCATTTTACTAATTTAGAATCTTAAACTAGACTAGGAGAAATAAGTTATTATATGTGGTTTTTAAGTCAACTTCCTCTTTTATTTTTACATTGAAAGATGTTTGGCTTATGCCTCATAAACATGAAATAGATACCAAGACTTAAATCTTGAACTTGCTAATGATAAGCTATGAACCTTTGGGGAAATAAGTAAATTGATGGAAGTGGATAATTGAAGCAAGATTCCACACAAGACAGATAATGTTAAGAAGCAGGATTAGAAATTAAGTGCCACTCAGGATTATGGTGATAATGGACCAAACCATTAAGATAGCAAAATTGCAGCATGGTGCAATTTTCAAAGCTCTATGTCATCTTCAAAGTTAATGTCTCTGTATTGTCTAATACGTTTTGTAACAAAATCTGTTTTTCCCTTTGAATGACAGTATAAAAACTGTTCTGCTTAGATGTTACTTAATTTAATTATAAGACAGCAGTTAAAATTAAATAGGAACCAATATTACAGTAACAAGCGATCATATATGTTGCTTACTATATTTACATAGAGAATTAATGCTAAACTACATTATAATGTTATGAGAACTAGTTGCAGTAGAATTCAGGCTTGTGATATCTTGCCCATCTGGCATAGCTGCAAGAACATCAAAAGTTATCCATCCCATTCTACATTAAATATTGTAATAATTTGAAGTTGGTTTGTTTCAGCAAATCATAGTTAAGATTAACCAGCATTTGCTTGTCTCTGGATGACTGAAACCAAAGCAACGGCTCCAGATCTTCTTCAGCCACTGAGAGTGGAGGTGGATATGAGCCTGAGGCACACTGCAGCTTATTCTCATAAGTAAAGTGTTTTTTTTTAAAATCAAATCCCAAGAAGTGCAATAGGATTGAGATTTTTTGGTTATTGCAGTTTCTATGGAAACAAAGATCTCAAGTTTAAAATTACTCTTGCATTTACATTACATTACCTTTCTTAGTGGCAAGAATTAATATTTTGCTTCGTGGAAATAAATGTTTCAGAGTATTTTTTATTTAGTGTACACATTCATACTGAAAAAAGTTTGTGTATATAATGTGAATTTCATTCTTGTTTGATGTAGTAATTAAAAGAAGATCTGTGGATCTAAACAGTGTACATCATTAATGTATGCCATGTTAATAAAAATGTAAATATAAGTACCTATTATATTTATTATATTAAGTGGTATTATATTAAGTGAGTATAGGTTGACTCTATACTTGGTCTACTTCAATCCTAGTTTCTTACATCTCTATCTAAACACATTTTTAAAAATGGCAAAGCTAGTTCGGTTGCTCCACTTTTTGCTGTCTTTTTGTACTTTGATATTGTGATGCTAAATGCACTATTATACCTTATTTCTTCCCTATACTCCTTTTCTTGGGAGCTTCCTGTCACTGCAGTACTTTGCCTTTATATCTGTCCATTGTTCATTGCCATTGTTCATTCACCACCTCCTCAAAATGTTCTTCCACATAAATGTAGAAATGGGATGAGGAAGGGCGAATTTACTGTATTATATGTTCTCTTTCAAACCATGTGTCTCACTCCACAAAGAAGTGTAGCAAAGTATTACGTGAGCATATCCTTAGTTTTTGTTCAGTCTAGATTGCTAGAGGGGATCAGTCACTAGATTGGTCTCCCTGCTTGAATTTAGGATTTGGTATTGAAGATCCACAGTCTATTAGTTCTGGAAGAGACTCAACACTTATTCCCATATTCGTTAGAGCAATTCTGGAAGTCATCAGGGCAGTCATTAAACAGGCATCTATTGAAAACTACATTTTGAACGTTTGAAAAGGAATTGACATTTGGGAATGTGAGATTCCATTGATACCCTCATTTTGTTTACTCTGCATTGCTACATAGGCTTGCAGTAACTCACTATGTCTGTAGATGTAATGAACTTATTAGGATATACACCGTCGAGGTGGATGGATTCCTGAAAATAGGGGAGGATTTTTTAGTATCTTCACACTGCTGTCCAAAGTATAATACTTCAGTAAATAACAGAGATTATATGTGCTGCTGGTAAACCTAAATACAGTGGTGCCCCGCATAGCGATGTTAATCAGTTCCGGATTAATCGTCACTATGCAAAAACATCGCTAAACGGATCGAAAAACCCCATAGGAACGCATTAAACTTAGTTTAATGCGTTCCTATGGGGCCCAAACTCACCGTTCAGCGAGGTTCCTCCATAGCGCCGCCATTTTCGCACCCTCGGTAAGCGAGGGCAGGGCGCGAAAACATTTGCGGCGGCCATTTTGGGCACTCGGCGGCCATTTTGGACCCGCCGATCAGCCGTTGTAAAAACATCGCAGTGCGAAACACTTACCGATCATCACAATGCGAGTTTTTGCCTATCTAAACGTCGCAATGCGATCGCAAAAGCGACATTGCTATGTGGATTCGTCGTTAAACAGTGCGCTCATTAAGCGAGGCACCACTGTACTGTCAAAGTATAACTCCAGACTGAAAGAGATGAATCTGTTACTTATAAAAGTGTTTCTGGTCATAAAATCTCAAAAATAATACCTTAGAGGTAGAAAATATGCCCCAAAAGCCATCCAAAATGATTAAGGGACTGGGCTAGTATCCCATGAGGAAATCTTAACAGTTCAGGGCTGTTAAACCTAGGAAATAAGGAAAGGGGAATTATGGTAGAGATATAAAGTCATGCCTTGTGTGGACAAAATGGTTGGGGAAAGTTTTCTCTCTCATAGTACAGTACTGGAAATCCAGTACTACAGATTTCCTATCATCCAAGGAAGCTGATTGGTGGGAGATTCAGAACAAATAAGAGGAAGTGCTTCATAAAGTGTATATTTAAAATATGGAACACACTACTGTATTGTGGTCCCAGTCTGTCTGTCTAAAATATTTTTGCCCTGCCTTTCTCCTTGAAAAGGACCCAAGATGGCTTACCACATTTAAAGACAATATTTAAACTTGAAAACAATTACTGTAGTATAATGGTGGGGAACATCATTAAAAGACAATATTAAAGCTAAGAACAATAAATATGCAAATATTTTTAAAATACTATTCAGAGAAATGGAAAACACAAAAATGGAAAACACAAGTAGTACTGAAAAACCAGTCAAAGCAGTAATGCAAAACAATCCATCTAAAAATCATACAGAGGTAGTTACTGAGGGAAGGCTTGCCTTGGCCTGCTTGCAGAAGGACAGCAAAAATGGGGCCACGTGGCCTCCTGTAGGCAGGAGTTCCAAAGTCTGGGAGCAGCAACTGAGAAGGCTCTCTCTTGTATCCCCATCAGATGCACCTGTGAAGGTGGTGGGACCAAGAGAAAGGCCTCTCCTGGTGATCTTAACACCTGAGCCAGCTCATAGTGGGAGATATGGTCTCTGGG